GTCTGTGCACAGTCTAAGTTTGTCCTAATAGGAGCCACCATAGCTGGGATAATGCACTCGAATTGGGCAAGGTAAGAAAACAGAACTCAGTTAACACCAATCTGCAATCTATTGACATCTAGTGGTGAAATTTTTACACACAGTAACTTTAATTAGATAATTAAGATGATTTGGCATAAAAAGAAAAACAGAGGATATTACTTTCTATTCTATCTAGGACATGACTATTGAAACGGTGCATGGGAAAATACTTGACAAAATGGGATTTTGGCATCTGTGGTAAATAGTATTTAAAAATTCAGAGAATCCAGAAATAAGGCTGAAAGGGATAAGGCTGAAACTAGTAATGAATGGCCGTGATCTTCGAACTCTGAGGCAGCACTGCATTTAAAACAGGCACCATTCTGAAGTGGAAATCACTGGGTGATGAATGACCACTGAGCAGATGGATTCAAATGGCAGAGGCAGACTATGGTGCAGACCAACTATTCGGTGAGTCATTCACCCCAAACAATTTACAATTCATAGACATGAAAACATGGTGTGGCTGAGGATCACCTTTGGACTCCACCAGCATCAGCGTACATGAATGTTGGTACTGTCAAATTTAAAATTAGCTTCTTTTTTTTTTATTAAATAAAATGAACAAAATGAATTTCTTTTGTTTCAATATTTGAAACAATATTTGAAACTAAATTAACTAAAGATAAGGTGCAAATTATTTGCAAATGATTGCATCTATTGTTTTCATATTCTACAGAACATTTCAACTTTGTTTTGGCAGCATTCTGGAACATAACAATGACTGCATCAGTATATAGCATGTAATGGGCAAAAGATTTGTACTATACAAAGGTCTCAGACTACCCCTCAATTCTTATGATTTTGCTAGGGAAAAAGAAATGGTGATGAAGTGTGCAAAAATAAGTGGAAACATAGTATATCAGTATATAAGGCAGAAACAGAGTTGGCGCAATTCTTATGAGCTTGGATGTCAGTATTTGGTATGACCACCTTTCTTCTTCAACACAGCGTGAACTCTCTCAGGCCAGCTTGTCATATCTTTAGGTAGTCCTCAGGAATAGTTCCCCAGGCTTCTTGAAGGACATTCACGGTCTTCTTTGGATGTCAGCTGCCTTTTTTTTTTATTCTCTGTCAAGATGATCCCACGCTGCTTTAATACTGTTGAGGGCTGGGCTCTAAGGAGGCCAGTCTATGACTGATAGTGTTCCATTATGTGTTTTTCTAGCCAGGTATGCTTTTACTGCAATGACAGTGAGATCATTGACATGCTGAAAAAATTAAGCCGTTGCCAGTCAAGTTCTTTTCAGATACTAGTGCATGATGGATCAAAATCTGACTGAACTTTTTTTTGTTCATAATTCCATCAGTTTTGACAAGATGTCCACTGGCCAGAGCTGTGGAAAAGTCCTTGGAATTGAGGGTGTTATGCACACTCATGCGTGTGTGTGCATGAGCACAGCTGGGGGTGAAGTGCACTAGAAACCTCATAGTATCTTCCAACTATAAGGTATCTTAAGACACAGCAGTCAAAACCTTTATGTATCTATTTTTTGCATTTGGCATGATGCATCCCCAGCACCCCTACTTCCCACAGCCTTGCCACTGGCTGAAATTTTACCCCAAATCATAACGGAAGCTGCTCCATGTTTTACCTCTTTCCTGACCTCCTGCAATCATATTGACAATGATCTAAACCAGAGATTTCAAATTTCTTTTTTCCCTGTTTCCATTTCTTAAGAATGTCTTCTTCACAGCCTCCCTTCCACTGAGACCATTTCTGGAGAGGCTTTTACAGACAGTACATGGATCAACTGATTAACCAGATGCATCAGTCAGTTCTTTACTGGAATTTTTCCTATTTCTTGAGGAAATGACTTTCAGATAGTATTCATGTGTTGTAGTTACCCCCTTTTTTGTCCTCCATTTGTCCAATTTCCTTTTATGCTTGAATGATTTGTAAGTCAGTGTTAAGTGGCTTAACAATCAAACAAAATTCATCTGAAAATGTCCAGATACAAGGGTTGGAGTGAAAATGAGTCAAAGAAAACCTGAAGAAATATGTTCTACACCAGTTTAAAAATATATATTCTGGCTCCTTGTTAGCAAAATATAAAGACATGAAGGATGACTTAAGAGTCTTCCACAGAAGTGTATGAAAAAACAGTCTAAAACTATACCTGATTTTGACATTTTGTATATTTAATCAGATAAAAAAAAAGACATACTTTTATTTATTCTGTATTTTTTTCACTTCAAGATGTTTTTTCTTCACCATCCATGATGTGAAAGTGAAAAGTACTTATTAATACTGTCAAGAAAGTGATGCGATAACTACCTCCGACAGAAAGCTACACTTACATAATTAGAAAGGAACACTATCATCAGAGCTACCCGCTGTGGCGACCCCTCGTGAATAAGGGAGCAGCTAAGGTAGCTTTCTTTCTTTTTTAGTGTCACCAGAAGAACGGGATTCATAAAAGGGCTATAATATCAGTATGGTATCAATTTCCTGTGCACATGGAGTGGAACCAACCTTTGTTTGGCCTTTCAACAAAATAAGGTCTTGTATCTGTAACTGGAGGGTGTGAATGTGAAGTGAGCCCAGAGTGGATGATCAGCATCAGGCTTTGAAAAGTGTTTTGCAGCTAGTAGCTCTGGTGAGGCTTGGTGAGAGGAAGGTGTTTTATTTTTTACAGAATCTGTAAGTCTAGTTCCAGATTTAGAAAGATTGTGCTCACTTTAAAGTATATTTCAAACAGGATATGCAAATGGAGTAAAACCTATAAAAACCTCTAAAGTAATATGCTATAGTGTTATAAATCTTATTTCTACAGTGGAGCACAATGTAGTGAAATTTAAGGGAGAAAAGGCTAAAGCAGAAATGAAATGGAAAAAAGACATCATTAACATTCATTTAGAGGGGCAAGAGAAGGGAGTTTGATGCACAAGTGAAGAATAATAACACAAGAAGTTAACTTTGACATTTTCACATCTACTACATTTACTCCTCACAGCAGAACCAGAAGTCCAAGATGTTGTGTTGGACCAAGACCTCATAAAGAGAATTTCATTTACATAAAAGTAATTTACAAGACAATAATTCATCACCACGGTCTGAGCACTGCCATGTGACTGTAACCAAAGGGAATCTAACCGACATAAGAAGCAGTCAGGTAAAATATGTATATTTGCATACTTTCCACTGAAGGAACTCTAAAGGGTGGAGTCAGATTTGATCCCACTCCATTCCTTAAGCTGGGATCAGACTATTTGATATCAGCCTTAAAATGGCCTGACTCACAGAGAATGGGGTGGAGTTGGAGCATTTGGAATGGAAATGAGTATCAGATGTGACATATACAATTTGTCTAGAATGCCTTATAAGGTTTTAAGAGGCAGACCTAACTATTTTCATTATCATAAATAGAATTTAAAATTCAAGAATCATACATGTTTCTAAAACTGACTTTCCAAACAGCTGCAAACTCCATTCTGAGTTATGTTGGCGAGAAGCACATTTTCTCTCCAGCAACGTAGCTTTCGACTTACAAGACTGATGAAGACTGTGTAAGCAAGTAAAGTAGACTGTGGAGATATAATCTTAAATTTCTTTCCTTTCCACTCTCATGTTGTTAGGGTTTGTCACCAGAACCACTTTGTTACATAGAAAAATCTCATACCATGTCACACAGGTATATTTATTTCAGCAGCAAAGAAGGGGACAGAACACGTGCATTCATCCTCCTGATAAAAACATGAAAAGAAAGAAACACCACACCATTACTCATTGAAGAAGCCTCTAATAAGGCTGGGTATTTGTTAAATCCACCAAAATATGATTATGAATTATGAGTTAATACAGCTCCGCCAGATGGGAAAAGGAGGAAGAGTTCCAACACGAGGATGTTTTTTCTTTCTCAAAATGTCTGAAAACCAAGTTCTAAGGCACTGCTGAGAGTTTAGAAAGGTTGTTCCCAGTTTACTAACTACTCTCAGAATAAGAAGAAAATAATTTTATCTTAAATCAGCCTCGATTCTTGCTCCATAAGCTCATCACTGATGCGTTTGACATGTTTCGAAATCACAGGAAGTTTTGAACATATGCGGAAATCTTTCTGAAACACATCTAAGTTACTGAGATAAAATCATTAATCATCTATGCGCATTTAAGCAATTTTCTTCCCCAAACTCAAGACACAGAAGCAGACTGATATCAGACAGAGCTGCCAGCTTGTTACACTCTGACCCTGAAGTCTGAAACCAAACAAACATAAAAGAGTAGAAAAGACTAAATCGTGTCTCAGCGGGGATGATATTAAATTAGAACATTTAAGAATAATTATTTGAAACCCTGATGGTTGGCAGCTCTTTCTGCATCTAAAACAAGCACTAGTAGGGAAAATTAATTGAATGGGAACTTTAAAAAGGAAAGACTAATGAAGAACGACTGCTACATTTTCCTGAAGGTCACACGGGTCATGAAAGACCACTTGGTTGTGTGTCTTGATCGCCTATTGCTATACCTCTAGGAATAACATCTAATCTTTTCTATGCTTTAGATCTGATTAGAGTTTGTAGTTATAAACTTCTTGGGCAATATCGAAAGAAGCTTCAAACAACGCAATACTTGAAGTTGATCCACTGTGTGTTCTGTAATACAACCTCCAACAGCTTTAGCTGGGGGGGG